GGTATAGCTCTAAAAAAGTAAAAAAAAAAAGGGGGGAAAAAGAAAGAATAAAACAGTTACAACAACAAATGAAAACAAATCCAAAGACATATTAAAGCTGAGATATCTACCCCATGCTATCTTTTTCACTGTAGACCAGTTTTTTTGCAGACACATGGTACTTTAGCCAGAATGCTGGTGCATGAGCCTATGTGCTCACAGAAGAACACTTACAGAAAAGCTTTCCTTGCCTGGTGTGCAACATCTATTTTAGAGGTATCTGTTCAAGATGCAGATGACCTTCTGTTGGCCTGTTGATGTCAACAGATTTTTGTCATGAACTTCAAGCTTTAGATCAAGTACTAACTGTAAGAGTGCTGGCTGATACTGGCAGACAATGGCCGTGTGTTCATCTTTGCATTTAGTTAAATGAGCCACTTTCCGGTGGCAGTTAATTTAACTCCTTCGCCACGCCTGCTGTTCCTTCCACCCCTGCACTGCCCTTTCTATTCCACTGACTCAAGCATCTCTGCAGCCACGTGGTTTAAGGAATTGATCTCCCTGAAAAATAATAAATTAGTTTTTTCAGATTGGGTTATTTTTCAGCTCTCTTTCCTATCTGGTATGCTGTCCGTCTGGGAAGTGCAGACACACTCATTCTAAAAACAAAGGTGGCAACTTCTTAAACCGGTTAAGCTTAAGTAGTAGTGCTACCTGGTGTCAAACTATTACCTCTGTTTTTAACCAGGAAGCCAGAGCCTGCCTTTTTCTTTTTTGACACATACCTAGAACATCTCTGTGTCCGCTGACATGTATTTACCTGAATTGTTGTGTGATCATTTTTGACAGAAAGATCTGGAATATAGCTTTATTGATACAGGGTCCAAGTTGTTCAAAGCCCTAGTCCTGCAGAAAGCTTGCCCTGGAAGAAAGAGGGATTGTAGTCAATTTTGTTTAATTAAATCAACCTAAACTAATTGTCAGCTAATAAAATAGTGTTGGTCAGCTCATAAAACAGAAATGAAGATTAAAAGAGTAGTTGCCATGAACAGGTGGTAACTCTGTTTCCAAGTTAGACCACATTACTCTCTGGCACAGGATCTCTGAGAATACCTCATATCCTCATTTTTTAAAAAAAGTTTATGAAACTTATAAAATATAGGGCTCATTTTATAACCAATTTTCTATCTCACCTGCCAAGAGCAGTGGGGGTTGAGCCAGCACAAGGCGGATGCAGAGTTTTAGGCAGCTGTCCAGAAATGGATTCCCTGCACAGGGCTATGGAATACATTTCTACCTTTGATTGGCCTTTCTTTTGTAATTCTTGTGATTTAGTTTTCTCTTTCTTGTTGTTGTTACAGAAAAGACCTTGTAAACATTTTTTTTTATGTCATTGATCTTGACCTGGCACTGTTGTGCAAAAGGAGAAATTTCCTATGCTGCACTGTGGATGCTGTCTAACTCTAGATGGATCTTGAGTTAGTAACAGGATCCCTCTGGATTTGGCCCTTGGTATTTCTGTTGACTCTGCAGTTCTTGCAAAAGGCATAAAACATTTATCTAATTTTAACTGGAAAGGACTAAACTGGAATCTTTATCTGCTCCTCAAAGTAGAAGCAGAACTTGATGGTTTGTAGTTGCTGTTAATGGTGGAATAATGAAAGAAAATTTATTGCATAGTGGTTATTATATTATTCAGTTAATAGTGCAAAACTATGTGGTTCTGAGAATTTTGTTATGGCTAGCAGTTAGTTTGAATGCTCTGTAGTGATGCAAGGCTTTTGGCACCAAAGTCACTTGTTGCACTGTCTGTGACTTGTATCTCGTACCCATTTTCTGTGACCACCCATTCCCAGAAATCTCATACAGGATGCACTTGGTTGCTCTTGTTAAGTCCTCAAACCTGGTAAGGCACTGAAAGACTAAATTAATTGTCTCTTCCACATCAGTCGTCCTCTTTCAGAGAGTATAATCACAAAACAGTGTGCTGCACTGATACAGCTCTTTGGGGTCCTGGCTGCAGTGACAATCTCAGTTAAAAGGGGATGCTCCAGGAGAACTCCACACCTGAGAGTTTCAGCTGCAGAGCACCAGACAAACGCTGTGTGGTATTGTAGCCTCCAGCGTCTTGTTTGGGGGCTTTACCTGGCTTTAATTTTCTGTCACGTATTGCTTTGGGACCTCAGGTTGGCCAGACTTGGCCTTAGGGTTTTAAAAAGTGAAGCTCAGCTCTTGCTTCTCTGCACTCCTCTTGCATCTGATGTGCCCTTCCCTGACATGGAGGGCAGCTGCTGTGGTCCAAGATAACTAATTTCTAGGCTCTTTGAGACTTGCCTGTGATGCTTTCTTTGGGCTAGTAGCTGACCCGGATAACTGAGCTTTGCTCTGTCTTTTCTCAGAAGGCAAAGGATAGGAGTTCCCCTAGCTTGCTGTCTTGGGGAGGTGGGGAAGGTGTTAGAGCTGCATCCCAATCCTCACTTGCAATAATGTGTCTGCTGTAGCAAAGACAGGGAGCAGAGTGTTTTTGACTTGTCTTCTGTGAAGCAGGGCACTGCCATGGCTTAAGACAGGTTTGTTACCTATAGCAAGAGGTACCAGAGTTAGAAACCCATCAGATTTGGAAGGGTCAGGAGCTGGAGTATCTGGAGAGAGGTTTCTGTGGGAGGCCGGGACTCCCCTGTTGGCTCCTGCTGAGTTTGTTTGGGAGGTTGTAACTGCTGCTCACATAGAAGAAAAACTGGCCCTGGCCATGCAACAGGAAAGTCTCAATAAGTACCACGTTTTCTGTCTTTGCACTTACAGTAATGCTCAGATTCAGCCAGGTTGTTGCCCTGGCTTAGGATGTGTCCTAGATCCCCACTTGCCTGCTCCCTCCTCTGCAACCAGAGATGAGGCTGCAATACCTGCTGACATAGCTTGGAGCCAGCTGGCACTGGTAACGCTTGCAGCAAAGGCTGCAGCAAAGGCTGCAACATGGCCATCACCTTCTCCCTACAGGATTTCCCAGTGGCAGGTATTGCCTCCCAGCTCCCGCTGCTTGAGTTGGTGGGACTAGAAGTGGTGCGAGTGGTGCAGCCCATGCTGTGGTTGCTCACCCGAGCAAAGCCATGGTGGGACTTTATGGGAACATCATCCCCTTTGGTCCCTGATCTGATTTACTATGTCCCTGACGAATGAGCATCACTTGAAACCCAAATCTTTGGTTAAACCAGCTGAAAAGATTCCTCACATTGGCAATCCTGTGAGGGGCTTGGGGGCAGGTCCCTCTACGACAGAACTTCTTTAAGAAAAAGGGAATAAGATAAGGTTGGTGTCCATTCAGGGCAGTTTTCTGTTCATCCACATGTCCCATGCTTGCCCAACGTTATGGAAACAGTTGCTAGGAGTCACACCAGCAGCCAAATCTCTACTTCCTTCAAAGGATAGGTTTAGGAGGAATGTAACACTGGTGACTGTGGGACTGGACTTGGCCTGTTATCACTGCTTGTGATAAAGCTTGAGGTGACACAGAAGAGCTGGAGGAATATTAAAGCATCAGCCCTCCAAAGGAATCTCTGTGGGTCTTAGTGGGTGTTTGAGCGGGACTCCAGGCTTGTCCAGATTTGCACTGGTGTCATTGCACCAACATCTCCTGTTTCCTCCCAGTGAAGATGCGTAGGACGATAAGCAAGCCTGCTGCTCAGGTGTTTGAGGGTCTTATGGGACTCCAGGCCTTGTCCAGATTTGCACTGGTGTCATTGCACCAACATCTCCTGTTTCCTCCCAGTGAAGATGCGTAGGACGATAAGCAAGCCTGCTGCTCAGCTTCCTAGGCATATGTGCAAAATCATCTAGGACCCCAAACTAACAAAAAACATATTCAAAGCAATTATCTGATCTTGTTTGTTTGTTTTTAATGTGATGTTTCCAGACACTGGTACAACAAACACTCTTGTAAAATCTTGGAACAGTTGTTTGTAGTTAGTATCTTCAAGATGATTTTATGTGTGCTGATCATGACTAATATACATCACTTCAGTGTGACCGTCATCCTCCAGAGCTGTGGGAAATTTTTGGTACTAAGACAATTATTTCCTCAGCTTGTTTAGCATTTTTCTTTTTCCTTTTTTACCCTTCTATGCAAGAAAACACAGATACTGATATATATTGTGCTTTCCAGATGAAAGTGCTTTGTGGTTCACAGACTTAAATAATTAGGTCTTCACAGGCCTCAGAGTGGTTTACAAAGGCAGTTGGAGTCGTCTTCTCTGGTTTTACACTTGGAGATAGAAAAATCTCTAGAGGCAAGGTTAACCGGCCCGGCTCACAACCTGGCCTTGGCAGAGCTGGGGGCAGACACCTCCTCTGAAGTGTACTCTGGTTTTCTAAACATTAGGAGATGCTGCTGTGCCCATACTGCTAAAGGCCGTTGTGTCCGTCGTCGTCTCCCCGCCTGCCCCGAACTTGATTCCTACTCTTGTTCTTGTCACAAACTTGTTTTTTAGCATATGCACCAGCCTCTGGGAAGGTGCCAGGTTCTTCTTCCCATGGCTCAGCAAAAACAATGGCTGCTGCTCTCCCTTCTTGAACCTGGGACCATTTTTTCCCCATAGTGTGCAACTGAGGCAATGACTGCCATTATCCAAAAAAAATAAAACCCAAACCCAATCCCAAGCCCCTTTTACATTCAACCAGAATGGATTGCTGCAGCCTGTTTCATTCAGTAGGTTTTTCTGTGGTTGTATTTCTTGGAAGCATCATTTCCAATAGAGGCATGGGGCTCTTTTACAGGCTTATTTCAGCACTTTGAGAGCACGAGTGTGTGTGTCTGTGCATGCATGTCTTGCTGTGGGTGGGAAGGGGGGAATTGTTGGCAAGAGCGCAAACGAGCCGAACGGGGAGAGTGAAGGCGCTTTCATTCCTTACCAAGTTTTGCTCTGCAAGCTGAGTAAACTTTTTCTCTGCTGAACCAATGCTGTGCAGGGTGAGGGTTTGATGCGTTCCCAGTGATAATTGCCTTGTCTCCCCCCCCCCCCCCGCAGGTTCATCTGGCTGCCAGCACGGTTACTTTTCCAACCAGGACCGTAAGTGGGCAACACGAACATCATGGAAAAGCAGAGCCTAAGAGTGAAGTGGGGTGCTCTCCTGGGTGGGGGGCCGTGGCAGCCAGGGATGCCCTTCACTTGCAGGGGGAAGCATATTGGAAGGGGGTCTGTGAGTCTCTGCCTGCTCTTTGCCTCAGTTTCCCTCAAGTATCTGGAGGGCAAGGAAAACGGGAGCTGGAAATGCCCCACTCCTCTCAGGTTCAGGGAGTTGCTCAGGCAGCGCCTGATGAGCATCTGGGAAGGGCCGCCCTGCCTGGACTTTCCTCGTTTTACCTTGGGTCGGTGCCTGAGAGGGGACACCAGGCTCCACAGACCCTGCGTCTGCCCCAGGGTACCTGTTGTGGTCTCTTCCTAGCAACTAAAACTCACCCCCCTGTTTTCCCTGACCTGCTCACGCTCCTCATCAGTCATTGGGGGTGGTATGTTGAGAAGAGCCAGGAGGGGGGTCGGCTTCATGAGGTGAATGCTGCAGAGCTCTCAGAGGGAAGGTGGCTGTGACCTTGTTTGCAACTGCAGGCCCTCCCCTGAGGAGAGAGGTTCATCGGCCATTGGCATCCAGCAGCCTGGTGTCTCCTCATATCCGAGTGTTTCTGTGACACTTGTGTTGGTGTCTCTGAACAGCCTCCCCTGAGAAAACTGAGATGGTTTTAAAGGTTGAAAGTGAATGAGAGCCCATTTATTGCTTGCCGGTGCATGAACTGTACGTCTCCAAGCTGATGGTAAAAGTGGCTTGAAAGTGCAAAAGCCCAACCAAGGTTTTAAATTTGACCGTGTATCTCCAATGATGGTTAATCAATAAAACGCAGGAATTTACATGGGAGACTTTGTACCTGATGGCCATGTGCAGATTTTGTGGTAAATGAAAATCATGGGACCTTAGAAGCAGCACATATGCTGAGCAGACGAGTTACTCCAAAGCGCTGGTTTTGTGAAAGCAGTGGTATGGCAAGGGTATGAAGAGCTCGCACGGATCTGCCTCTTTGCTCTCCTTGCTGAACACACACTCAGCAGAAAAATAAGCGTCCCATAGCCCAAAAGCTCCTATGAAGCCATAAATTAGGACGAGCATCTGTCTTTCTGCTCCTACATCTATTGCAGACATGCTTCATGCTCTAGCTGCAGTTCCTCTCTCTGTGTGTGCTCTGCCTATGGATGTTACAGAACATGCCTCTGATTTCTCATTAACCACAGTTGTTCAGCATAGAATCGGCCGTTCGTCTTGGGCACAGCTGAAGCGGGCAATAGCCAAGCGGGGCAGTGATGGCAGCCTGGGAAGGCTGTGTTTCAAACCTGCAGCGCTGCATCCCTTGGGTGGGACCCTGAAACTGAAGATGCCCAACAACTATTCCCAGCGATCTCTGCCAAGACCAGAGGGTATTTGGAGTGCATAATGACTTTGGGTCTTTCCTTGAAATTCTAAGCTCTTATTGTATCAGGAAAAAAATCAGTGTCCAAATAGAGAAGTCAGTCCCAGCCCTTCTGGGAGAGAAGGATCCTTCAGTTCTTGTTTCTATCCTTGTTCTCTTTCATATTCTCTTCCATGGTTGAGGATGCTATTGTTTACTGCTCTCTGTTACTTGGGCATGTCCTGGCACACGAATGCACTTCTTAGCGCATTGACCCTCGTATTTGGAACTGCCATGTAGAGGAACTAAATGGCATGTCCAAGGACGCATGGGAAAGTATTGTGTCAGCAGGAATTGCATCTAAATCTTCTGCATTCCTTATTATTGGTCCCACCACAGGCCAGTCTTGTTTCTGGATTGTCTTTTTAAAGTGGTGATTTATTTCCTTGGTCTCTCTCCACTTTGTGCTTCAGTTTCTCCCTTGGTGGCTGTGACCTTTTCAACATCTGCCCTGTTCTGTGTTCGTAGAGGGCAAGAATAGTCCTGCCCCCTGCACATCTTGGCCCTCTGAGGAGACAAGATACTAAATTATTTTAAAAGGTGGCTTACTCCATTGCACACTTCTGTGCACCTTTAAGGTTTCATCCAGGCAAAATCTAACTGATGCTGTTATTCTTCTGATAACTTGACAATGGGGGTTAGAGGATATTGGCTAGGGATTTTTTTGACTGTGTAAGGAATCCTCCTTATCAGCAATTTGGCCTAGGATTCTTCTAGTTGTCCTGTGTTTGAAGATGTTTCCTGCTATGGTTTGCTCTTAGTCATTTAGCCTCCAAATGATACACTGATTTTTAGAATGTAGGCTAAACTCTTTGGAAGTATGGGGCCAGATGGCACGGCAGAGATGTATTGCCCCTAGAGTGGTTGGGCCTTGCTCTCTGAGGTCTGGGAAGGGGAGATGACTATTCTGAAATGAACAATGAAACGTGCAGGAGGTATTCCACAACTTCCCTGGAGACTAGATAACAAAATTTGTGCAGTGTAGGGTGTACGTGGCACCACATGACATGAGGATTTTCTCTTTTTCTTTTTAGAAGGAAACGTGCCAGATAAGTAGAGAACAGGTAGACTGAGGGCAGGAGCACTGTAAAATCAGCTCCTTACAACTGCAACATTCATTAACTTTGATGTAGGCAGGACCAAGAGGGAATAATGGAGAGCTAAAAATTAGGTCTGTTTTAAGTTGCAACAGAGATCTGGCTGCAGATGCTTTTCTGTCTTTTCAAGCTAAAGAAGTCAAAAATTTTCCAATGCAAGTGCCTGGATTGCTTGAATTTTGTCATGGGCTTTTTCTACCCCTTGGTGATCTGGATCCCAATGCCTTGGGAGTGTCGCTCCCAGCATCTGGCCCACTGTCTTGGGCAAGGTGGGAAGGTAATACAGTGTTATGCTTACATACTGGAAGTGCTTCAGTAGTGTGAGTTGCTACTGTATTTCTAGAAGGTATAGAAAAGGCTCTCTGTTTTCTGTAACACTGTGACACTCCTCGTAGGCTTATAAGCACTACAGTATAGAGAGATCCGCAGATGCTTCTGGCCGCACTCAGACACTTTCAACCCTACCCAAGGTGGGTGTCTCTGCCTGATGTTTCCTATTGGCTGTTTCTAAGTATTCAGCCCATCAGAAACTTTAGTTTCAGGGACTAAAGTGGAATTTAAACTATCTGAATATAGTCCTTTGTGTCAAATCAAATGATTTGTTAAAGCGAGGCCAGATTTGCGGGGAGAATCAATCTTTTTTATTAGATCAACTGATGTGGAGAAAGCAGAAAACTTTCAGGCGTATTAACCCTTCTTCTGGCCTGCGTTTGTATTACAAGAACAGAGGGACCTGTCTACCAGGGGAGACTGTGCTTTAGGATACATGTTCACACTGACTATTCCTCAATGGTCTTGGTCTGAACGCAGACATGGGTGGCATTTTTGGGCCTGCTTGTACACTTTTTTGGGGGAAAGACTTGACTCCCTCTGTGTTTAGACACTAGATGTTACTACACAACGAATAATGGGCTCTGCTCTGCAGCTGACTCATTGTGCAAGTCTGGGGCTAATTACGGAATCCCTCCATGCCTCAATTTCCATCTGTAAAATGTCACAGATGCCCACCATTCATAAATCGCTTTCAGATTTCCAGATGAGGTGCTGTGTAAGTGTAGAATAGTGTTAGTTTATACATATTGTGCTAGAGTATAATATAAAACACATGCAACAGAAGAGCCTCACAGATGTGTCTCTTTCAACTGCAAAAGGCAAGGCCTGGGCTGATGATTTAGCACAGCACTAATTGGGCTAAAATAGGAGATTGCTTTTGTACAGATGCAATTGTCATCGTTAAAGTCCTCATTTACCAACAGTTTTTGGAGATAGCCCAGTTATTTCCTATTGAGGAAAACTGTAGCATCTTGGGTCTTGAAGCACAGCAATTTATAGCCAATTTCAATGTTTTTATAGCATCCCCTACGCTGGCTGTCCTCACACTTCTGGAAGGGGACTGTTCCATTGTTTATTTTGAATGTGCATCTTGCTTGGCCTGTAGCTGCACTTAGCACTTTTTTGCTGCCTGCAACTTTTTGGGCATATCCTAATCTCAAAGCAGAGGCATTTGACTGAGTCATTTCCATTGCCATTACTGGGTGTTGCATACACAGGAATCCCCATTTATTGATAAGAAAGCTGTTCCTGTGGCTGCAAGCGAACGAGTGCCTGGCAGCTGTTCAGCATTAAGTGAATTCTCAGAGTTTAAAGGATTTGTGAGCTGTGATGGTTTGGGTTTGGGCGATTAACTTCGGTGAAGTGCTTGAGAGTGTCTTCCAGACACATTTCACGGAGAAGGATGAACTTAAACAGTTAAGAGATTTGATTTGTTTAAGTGCCCTCAAGTTTCCTGATTGTGCTGTTGGGTATAAACTCTCAGTGTGTATGAAACCTAGGAGCTCCTTTTGACTGCAGGAGAATTATGGTTGTTCCTTCCAGTTGCAATCTGGCCCTGTGCTTGTTTGAAAGTGCCAACGTCATCCCGGCATCATGTGGCAGCAGGCACCAATGACTGTGCATTGAGCCTCTGAAGCTATCCTCTAGCTGTTTAATTTTAAAGCCCTGGTCGGGGCTTATTTGCCAGTGTATTGTTGCCTGCTGCTCAGAAGTGATTATTGATGCTGAGCTGTTGTGAGAAGAAGGTGTGGGGTTGGGGGGAATGAAGGTGTCTCTGCAGATATCCAGTTTCTTCTTGGTGTATTGCAGACAAATTGCACCGTTCTGCATTTGTCCGGTTTGGACTCACTGGCTGTTCTCCCCGTTCCTCATTAGTGCTCAGAGGGAGGGTCAAAATTCATTGTCAAATCCTCCACAGCTGTAAGAGTAACATAATATTGGGACTGAGTGCGTGGGGTGACAGGCGTGGGAGAGAAGATTGGCTGACACTCAGCCTTACCCAATGCTTGCCATGTTCCAGGAGAAATCTCCCCGGATGCTGGGCCTTCAGTCATGGGTCTAAACTTGCCATTTAAGGCATTTTTTAGGAGAGTTTCAAGGTGGAGGCTGCTAGAACCTCAAAATGAAGCTTCTCAAACTACTA